TACTGAACTACCAACTGCTATGGATGACTGAAAAGGTTAGGGTCATGAAGTTAAGCAGATCTGTACAAGCTTGACAGAATGATAAAGAAAATATTAATTTAATATATATATATATATATATATATATATAATCACTTCACCCCAAGCAAAGCGGGATGCCACTAGCATGCAAGAGGTTACAGAAAGTGGGAACGAGAGTAAAGAGGTATGATAGAGGAAAATATGAAGGGAATAGATCAAGGCATCCGGAGATGTGGATTTACGCTGCTATATCAGAGGGGAGGGAGCAGGCAGTGATCAAAATTATAAGGCATCATGGAATACAGCAAGACAGTTGTGCTTACTCTACAAAGGAGTCAATCTAAATCTCAATTTATGATCAACACCAACTCATATACGATGATCCAAATGCCAAAACTTCTAGAATCACCCAGTTTCCAAAGGGATTTCGGCTATGACTATAGTATGGAAAAACATAATTGGATTTGCTACTGAAAGTTTTTATATGGCTTTGTGACTTACTGAACTAACAACTGCCATGGGTGACTGAGAAGGTTGGGGTCATGAAATCAAGAAAATCTGAACAAGATTAACAGGATGATGATGAAGAAAACATAGCGGTTCTTATTTATGGTATTTGTAAACAATTTAGTAAATATTTACTGTGGTTTGGAATTTAGTGTTATTCAATAATGTTTCTCTGAATTAATATAGAAAGTACAGACTGAAGCCAATTTGCCTCCTGCCTGTTGCTACATCCAAGAAAATGTGCGAATACCTTCAAATGGATAATGCCTTGTAACTAATTCAATCTAAATCTCAATTTATGACCAACAGTGAATCACATACAAGGATGCAAATGCCAAAATTTATAGGATCATCCAATTACTTAAGGGAATTACTGCTATGACTATAGTATTGTCAAACATAATCGGATTTGCCACAGAAATATTTGTTATGGCTGTGTGATTTCACCAATACAAAGATGCTCATCATGTGGTTATAAAAGGAGCACCTTGTACTGTTAACAAGCTACCAACTGCTATGGATGACAAAGAGGTTAGGTAACTCCAAGTAAGCTTGATATGATGATGATGATTAATATATATATATATATATATATATATAAACCCAATTTTTGTGGTTGTGTTTTCTGTAAATATAAGATGTATCATTATCACTCCAGGATTTAGTTAGACTATTGATTGCATCATGTTGTTTTTGTTATATACTTTGTTTATTTATCTGGTCGTCTTCAGGTATACAATTTGTAAAGGTGCCTCTTTTATTATTATTTATTATTATTATTATTATTATTTTATTACATTTCAAACCAGAAATCAGTGACACCTCTACTGATCGAATCAACTCATTAGACCAAATCTCCCAGTAAATCCTGACACACAGACAATTACCTATTTTATTTATTTCTCATGTCCACCTTTCTTTGAAAAAGAATATCCATTTCCTTCTGGCATTCAGACTATAGATCTGAAGAAAGCTACAGAATGGATTGGCCAAGGTTTTATGGAAACCAAAATGCAACAAGAATCATGAGAAAAATAGTCCAAATAGTACTTGGACATGTCGTTACATTGTTACATAGAAAGTGAAAAGTTGAATATCTAAATACTTTATATTGTCACCAGAAATAAAAATAAGCTTTAGAAGACGGTATCAGAAAATGCTGTGATTTTACTGTTCAATAAACGTGTGCACAGCTAATATTCATTACTACCCAGCCTCTTGAGTTGATCTGCCAATAAGCTTCATACCATATGCTCATGTCGGTGCAAGTGGTAAGAATGTTAGTGTTCTGATCATTCCAATCTCACCATGGTCAATTTAATATCAGCCTGGTGTGTGGCACCATTGGGTAGACAGAATTGTTCAAGAGTCATTGATGATTATGCTAGCACCAAGTCATTGTGAATGAAGGTTTGAGTGTACTGGCTTGGATCAAACTGTTGCCAGACAATGTGCTCTCTCAAAGAAACAATAACTAATGTCTGCTCTGAATATTTGCAGTATTAACCACAAATTAGTACTGTGTTTTGAACAAACACAAATGTACCTGAGTAATGTCTGCAACAGGAATTGGCTAACCACCTTTAATAGACAGGCATGCTCAGATATAAGCAGTCAATCATTATATGTTTAATTATTTTATAAAGTTCTGTAACATTGTGTTGCAATGGTTCTGCAATATTTACAGTTGGTGACAAATTCAAGCAATAAGCTCAATATCAAATTTTATGTGAAACTCAATAAATCTACTACTTCAGATAGGTTTTTAGCATTTTTTGTTAAATCAAACAGGTTTTTGGGTGATACAGACATTGAGATCAGTTCAGTATCAGCTCAAAATGATGAACATTCAGGAAACTCAAAAACAAAGAAAATTGCAGAAAAATAGGGTTTGTCAACAATTTGGGTTTTCAGTGTAAAACATTATTCAAAACTGGAAAAATACAATGAAAATTTAAACACAGATTTTCTGGCTTGAATTTAAGAAAACTTGTTTAGATGAATTTTTGGTACCTAACAATATCTTATCCCTCTCCCTCCCCCTCTCTCTTATTTATATATATATATATATATATATATATATATATATATATATATATATATAAAGAGAGAGTGAATATGTGTTGTTTACATATGCCACTATTTGTTTGCTTGTATATTTTATATAATTATGATTATATAAACTATTTTTTTAATCATGTCATCCTAAGCAAGGCAATAAAGTCACTCAGATGCAAAGGGTTACAGGGAATGAAAGAGACTGACACAATTTTAGTGAGGAGAAAGGACAATAAAAGAACAGGATTCAGGAAGACAGAAGATGGTAATTGGCATTGCATTTATATTTTTGGTAGGTGGAAAGGAACCAAGAAATTTCGCAGGCTCTTGCAAAAAAAAAAAAAATTAGAATAGACCTGGCAGTTGCATTTAGCTAGTTCAACATTAAAACAGACCTAATGTCCAATCTAGTAGCACACTTAAATTCATGTAGTCAAGGCACCAAGGAGGAAAACTCATCAGAACAATTGCCATGAAAATATTTGTAGAAAGGACAAAGGGAAGCCATATTACGTCAGTGAGAAAGTGAATAAAGTCAAGATGCCAGGTCATTACAGACCTTTTGAATTTTTTCAAGAAACTCTAGATATATAATAGAAGATAGATATGACAGTAGTATCCAATGAATGATAGATTTATAATTGATATCATTGATTATTATCATCACAACTAATAATATCAAATTACATTTAATTCATAATTGAGTGCTTTTATTTTTTTTACAGTCATAATGGTCTGTTAGACTAGTCTGCCGCCTATTACTCTATAGATATGTGCATTTGTGTTTTATAAACACATCCGTCATCTCCAACAATCACTAGTCCTGGATATGATGATAAACTATAGACAAATAGTGAACAAAAACAAAACAATATGAAAGTATAAAAATACCAGCAATAAATTTTTATATAAAAAATTATGAACAATACATTTTATCTGTAGTTGAAGGCATTACAAAATATATTTAGTTGAAGCCATAAAATTGTGTTCAAAATATTTAGATTTTGGAATTTAATAACCCATAGAGGTTGATATGCTGCTAAACGAAATCAAACAACCAATATGAAAGAACTCTTTCATCTGGCATCTCGTCTACAGACACTTTCTCACAGACATGCTGTCGCTTTTCTCTGTCTGTTTTACAAATACTTTCATGGCAATTGCTCCGAGGAGTTGCATTCGCTGGTTCCCAGACTTCATGAGTTCAAGCGCCCAATGCTCTCACCCCTTCACTGTTGAAACTCCTAAATGTAGCCGTCTCTTCTACTCCAATAGCTTTGTCTCGCACCTCTCACCTGTGGAACTCCCTTCCCTATTCCAGTTTCCCTGAGAGCTATAAACTCCAGCAGATCAAATGTAATGTCAATCAACATCTGCAGTTGCCTTGATCTATCCACTACCCTTCTCCTCATCCTTTCTTCTATCACTCCTATCTGATCTTGTTCCAAATTTTCTGTAACCCCTTGCGTACTAGTGGCTTCCCACCTTGCTTGGGGTGAAACGCTTAAAAAAAGAAAAAAAAAATGACATTAAACCATATCATATCCCACAATTTCTTAAATCAAACTCTATTCCAAAATATAACCGCAACAAAACAACAACATAAAACACACATAATCACCACCTCTAGTAAATGATGCCCACACATAAAAGCTGAATATTCAATTGTGAAAGCAGAATAACATATATCATATTTTTATTACTTCAAATCTCCCAAGAAAATTAAATTTTGGCATTAAATGACCCATAAGGAGCTGATATGCTATTAAACAAATCAATCAATCACAAATATTGTATATACTTGTAAGATTTTATGATCAGCTTTTTTGATGCAAAAAAAATAGGAGGTTGCATTATACACAGATAATTTTTTTTTTTTTTTTGAAGGTTAAAAATCATGCATTTTCAGTGATTAGTTGCACTCTATACAGGTAATTTTTTCTGGAGGGGTTAAAATTCATGCAAAAAATAAATGGGTTGCATTATACATGAAGTTGGCTTATACACAAGTTTATACAGTCTGATTGGATGATAATAAAGACCTGCTCACAGTTTAATTCAATGCCTCTTTTGGATATTTTTTTAAAAATCAAAGTAAACAGTTTCATTGTATAGAAATGAAACATTCTGCTGATTGTGGACACTAGGATTGATTCTTTCAATGCAATGTGAACGTAATTAGAGGATGAAATAAAGGCAATTATTTTTCAAATGAAAGAGTCACTTTGTTGAAGAGCAGCCAAGTTGTGAAAAGCTTACCTTATTCAATAGAATACACTGTGTACTTGGTGCTGACTGTCTTAGAGATTTGAATATGAACAGCAACTGAGTAACTTTCAAAGTTTGGACAACCCCCAACACCTCCTCCTCATAATTTGCCATTTATTTGTTCTTTTTATTAACTATTTTTTTAGTTATACCTTTTTTTTTTCATATTTTTTCTTTACCTTCTTTCTCCTTCACTTTCTTCCTTTCTGCTTCTCTTAACTTTTTTTCATTTTTTATGAACATTCAATTCTTCTTGAATTTTGATTTCTTTTCTAATATTTGTTTTATCCATTTTTTTTTTTTTTGTCACAATTTGCTTTATCCATTTTTTTTTTTTCACAATTTAGTTTCTTCTATCAGTTTATCTTTTTTTCTATTTTTTACCTTTGTTTTCTTTTTTCTTACCTTATTTTTAACTTCTCAAATTGTTTTTTCTTCAGTATTACCTTATATGCTTTCTATGTCTAGCCTGGTCAGTATCTAGATGAGTGACCACTTGGGAATACTAAGTGCTGTAAGCTTGGATGTGTGAAAAGATAATTAATAATGGCTCAGAATTATAAATTGTGGATGTTAGTTCCAATTCCAGTTGGGGTCATATTTAGTTATGCACAAATACGATTGGGGAAGGTATAAATCAACCTCTTCTCCCCACATCTGTAGGTTAATTAGTATATAATTATTATTATCTTCAAAATAATCTCACAATCTAAAAATATTTTTTGGCTTTAAATAGCCTGCAAAAGGTTAATAAGTCATAAAAAACAAATCATTCAATCTATATATGCTTTCTTCTATTTATATTACCCTGTATTGTATATGAATTATCACTATTATATATGAATATGATGTAGATAGATCACATACAATATACAAGACTTTCTATGTGCATCATTTTCATATATAATTGTGATAGTTCATATACAATATATAGGACTTCCTATCAAAATTATATATGACAATGATTTAGCTAGAAAGTCCTGGATATCAATTATTCTAATTATATATCAGACCTAACATTTAGATTTCTCCAATTCTTTTAAAATTAAGAAGCCTCTATACAGTGTTGTAGTTAACATTTTTCAGATGCAATTAAGTACTTTTGCAAAATTCATTTTTATTTTTTATGACTTGCATTATGCCATAAATATAAATACTCTAAAACTACCAATTTCTATCTCTGTCACCATGTCAACATTCCAGGGTAGATTTGTTGCTGGGTATCAACAATTTTGTTGTAGCATACCTACAGATGATAATGGGTATGTTCTCATTTACATAAATACAGTAGTAAATACTGTATGTTAGTCTGCAGTAGGAGATTCATTGTGGAACTCACTTGACTCACTTCTAGCAGTTGACTACTTCTTCTACACACCTCTGGCAAATCTTATATGTGTTGTTCATGTCCTAAGTATTATCGTTCATTACCAACCTTTGTTTGATTATTCTATTCCGTAATCTTCCCTAGGTTACAACACTTAGCAAAATATTTTACTTTTGACAAAGACTAAGGGCATTGAGAGTTGTGCATATTTTTAAAATGAGTTGTGTATAAATTGCATATTGTGCACAAATACTTGCATCATTCCGCCTAGTTTGATGTCTGATTCATTGGGAAGAAACAGATCATTTGCATTGTTTGGAGCTGTCCACAAGTTGGAAAAGCTTGATGTATTTTTTTTTCTCCAAAAAAGATGATGTTGGCAGTTAGCCAGGAAACTTAGCTAACCACAAAGAGTCTTGGAGCAGTCACGAAGGAATATGTTGAAAAATGTCCTCTTTATCTTGCCAAAAGGACAGCAGCATTCTCAACAGCATCTGACAGATGATTGGCAAAGCTTTAGTGGAATTTTAAAAAATGGTCAGAAACTTCCTTCACTAGTTTAAAATTAGGTTAGATTTTGTGGATAGAACATAAAAAAAATATAAATCAAGTCTGATTTTGTGTCGTTTACAGAAAATTCTTTTATGAGATATCTTTTAAGTTGGATTTTGTGGAAAACTATAAATCATTTAAAATATTAATCATATGTGATTTGGTATTGTCTTTTTCTAGGTTTAGCACAAGATCATGAGTATGGGTCACCCAATAAGGTTCAAATCCTTGACTTGGTGGTAATGATTAACCAGACTAACCCACTAACCATTACTCCACACCAAGGTACCCATATCTGATTTGGTGTGGTGTAAAAAATTTATCTTTATTAATAGATCTTCTCTATGATAGATGAATTGGATGCAGTGTGGGATACCATCAAACAAAAATGGATTCATTGCAAGACTTTATAAACACTGTCAAGAATAGAAAGTTGAAACAGTATGTACACAACATAAAAGCCAACAATCTTTCCACTATCATCTTACAAGGTACCACTTTAGGCAAATGAAGAGGCTGACAGAAGAAAAAATGGGCTGTCAATGTCACAGAGTGGACTTGAATATCCTTCATAGAGACTCAGGCATTAGCACACAACCAAGACTTAAAGAGGAAGACGATCAGGTGCAGCAACTCTATGATCACAATGTTATAAGACGAGCACCCAGACTAAGCCCAGCCAACCAATCCCAATGGTGGAAGAAGCAAATGACAATTACAACAGATCTCAACGGTTGAACAAGTGGATGAAGAGAGCTACACATGACAGACATGCTACAGAAGGTACCCTTTGAAATTATAACAGAGTAGCAGTTAGTTGCAATTTCATAAGTGGTTTGTTTTACCATGTCTCATTCTATATATGCCACAGAGAAAGGTTATGAAATCTAGTGAGTCACTTCCTGGCAAGCCGAGTTCCACCTTAAACAAATCCATGACATTAGCACTTTCTTCAACTCTGATTTTGTTTCATCTCTAAGCAAATCTTGCAAAGCCTAATGGCAAGAAGGAATGGATGATGGGAGCAGGTTTTGGCGAATTTGGAAGCTTCTAGTCCTGAATCTGCATATTGGTGGTGAATTTAGTCATCAATGCTATCATCATAAATGAACTGATCAGCAAAGAAAAAATTAAATTCTTGAATATGAGATAAAGCCAATGATGAAAATATGACTGATGATAAAACAATTATTCATATCACATGTTCACCTCAGTATCGGTTCAACGTGTACATATCAATATTATTGTCACTCATGCAGGAAGTTACACCCATATACATGCATGCACACACATCCCACTGCCAATCTAGTACTGCACTTAAACCTTTTCTAGCAGTTTCTGCTGACATGAATTGGAAAGATTATACTGAATCAATTGTTAGGTCTGCTCCTAGGAAAGTTGATTCCCTGCATCATGCTCGACAATTTTCCCTACCAGAATCTATCATTCATCCATGCAGTGTATATTGCTATCGCATATTATCTGGTGCTTCTACTATGTATTTAAAGATTCTTGATAATATCTAAAGAAGAATCTGCAATATTATTGGTCCTGAGTTGGCATCTGTCATTTTCCCACTACTGTAATGTAACTTTCCTGTGCCTTCATTCTTTCATACCTTGACTTTATATAATATTCAGTACTAGATTGGAAGCTAAGTCTCATTTTACATTTGAAATGGCTAGACATAACTGTAATTTCTATTGTAACACTTTGTTCTCTTGCACTTCTCATTTGAGAAACTCTCTTCTGGCTTGTTTTCCAGTCAACTTTGATCTTGAAAATTTTAAATGCAATATCAACTGTTATCTTTTGTCTTCATTTCTGTTTTTTTATTATTTTTCCTCCTTAATGTTTTTCTTTTTCTCATATTCTTTCACACTCAGTAGAACCTTGCATCTTTGTGGCTTGATTGCCTTGCTTAGGTGAAATGATTAAACACACACACACACACAAACTTTTAGGTTTAAATATATATATATATATTTATTTGATGAGCATATCTTTGTGTATTGAGACATTTATACAGTACGAACATCCATGCAGTTGTGCATATATATGAGCATAATTAATTGTTAGCCTCTGCAGGTTAATCACTGACTTAATTTCTGAAACCAGATACTTAGATAAGAGAAATGAAAGATCAAAGAACCTGAATCAAAGCAAAGAATAATCCTGTGCACACTCACTGCACTTCCTGACCACTTAGCGACCTCACTATTTACCGAGGAAAAGAGGACTTCGAGGTCAGTTTTCTATTCCCTTTTGCCAGAAAGCAGAACAGGCTGACCAACTCCTATAACCCCCAAAGAGCTAATCATGATGACTGCCTGTGACAAAAGTGGAGTCTCTCTCTCACTTTCTTTCAATGTATCAAGAGCTATGTACTCTATCACAATAGAAGGATACAATATGTATTCATAAAAAAATCAACCTAAGATTTTAATCTAAAACCAACTTCTTGTGCCAGCCTCCACAGATTCATCTGTTAAATTAACCTAGTGTTTTTCAGGTCTCATCACATTTTTCATAAATCTCTCAAAGTAACTCTTCAAAGAAGGGAAAAAACTGATACTCCGTTAATTATTTTCTTTCATTTAAGAAGCCATTTTGCACATTGAGTTTCTCCAGCTTTTGAATAACATTGGTTATTTCTCTTAATATTTCTGTTTCTCTGTTATAGATGCTTTACTGACAGGAGAAATTTATATATTTCCTTCATTTAATAAGTAATTAAAAAAATTAAACCTAACTTAGATGATTTGATCACTACTTGTGTATCTCATGATTGTTGAATTTATTTGTTTCATGCAACTACCAAATAAGGAGTTTTATTCTAATGTTGGAGGTGAATATGTTATACTGTCAAGGGTCATATCTGATTTTGAAAAACACATTGTCTGACACTGCCATGTTCTAAAACACCTGCTAATACTGCTTCTATTCCAAATATGAAGAATTTTACATGAGTATGTATTTCTCAGCTTTATTTATTCTTAAGCAGCCTTCTATTGCAGCTATAGACAAGGTGTGAGACCAGACTTCTGTGAACTTCATGTGTGATTTCACTTTCTTATAGAAAAAATTGACAATCTGTAAGATTTTTTTTTTTTCTGATAGAATGATTTCAATGTAGGGAATATCTGGAGAGACATGGAAAACTCTGGGTAACTTGAAAATTCAGCAAATTTATTTAAATTCTCTGAACATTGAGATATATATATATATATATATATATATATATATATATATATATATATATAGAGAGAGAGAGAGAGAGAAAACTATGTAACTGGCAAGGCATCAAAGAACAACACTACGAAGCCTGCCAAAAGAGGAAACATGAAAAGGCACGCATCTACCTTTATTAAAAAGAAAAAAAAAGTGCTCTGGAAATCAAGCTAAGACAGAGTCATAGCAAAAGAAATACTAAACACAACTTGGGAACTCTAATCCAAATCAAAACTCCAAGTTTCATGCTATGGTGATTGTTTGATGACTAGATTCAAGAACAACAACCTTATAGGGGTGAAAAAAAAAATCATCCCTGTGAATACAGCTGCCCACACAGAGGAAAAAGAAAAAAATAAGCCTATGGGTGGATATACAATGTTTTAAGATATATATAAAAGAGAATTGATACAAGTAAAAGGCTTGATATTTGGCCGATTGCTGTTACCTTCAGCATCCGAACTTTAGAGTTTTGCTGATGAACTACTTTTTTTTTTTATAGTGTATGCATTTGCACATGTAGAATGTCATGTTTATTCGTCCTTTTTGTTATTTTTTTTTTCACTTTACACTCACTCCTTATTGTCTTTATCTTTTGTCTCTTTTCTCTGTTTTTCCACTTTTCTTTCAATTGTAGCCATTTTGACCATTTCTTTTCCAGACATATTCTGCTGTTGTTAATTCTTGAGCATATTATATATAATTGTGTATTTGAGCTGCAATCCCTCTTTCATACAGATTTCATTAAAGGTGACTGATAAGTTACTGAGATTAATTTATTTTAGTTAATTTTTCTAGTGTTGTATATTTTTTTTTCTTTTCGGGACATAAAGTATGTAAAAATTGCCCGAATGTTTTGTATGTCCAAGCACTTTTGGCTGTGTGCTGACCATGTTTGGGAAGCAAAAAACACTCTTATAACTGAAGATGCATGCATAAAAAGAAATCTATACATTCAGTTAAAATTAAAAATCATCCTTGATATTAGCTAAAAGATTAGCCAAATTAGGTGATGCCCAAGGATGGAACCCCCAAGAAAGGCTTCCTTTATGCCATGTCTGTAGATGAGGCATCAAAGTCAGATTCTTCAGGTGAACTGGAGATGATACGAAGTATGTGCAAAAGTTGCCAGGACCTGCTTTTAATAAAAAAAATTTAAAAAAAACTGGTGAATGAATGCACAATGTAACTGAGCAAGAGGTTGTAATAAATGAGGTTTAGAATTTTCAAAGAAATTCGACATTTTCAGAAGGAATAAATTTAAACTTGCAAAGGAATATATATTTTTTACATAGACTACAGTTCAAAAGTTTGAGGTCACCTCTGGTAATTTTTTAAATTGGCCTAAAAAGATATTTTGTATTTTAAATAGGAGAGAATTATTATACATGATTAAAAAAATTGAGATATGATTTTTTTATTAGAAGTTTTATTGTCAAAAAGAAAAGTGTTATTAAATTTTGCGCTTGTCAAAATATCTTCTTTTAGCCTTGATTACTGCAGCGCAGATTTTTAGTATGTGTTGCAAAAGTTTGTCAAAGTATAAGTTTTGATAACTGATTCCATTCTCTTTTTTCAATGACTCTAAAAGCTCTTTTTCATTTTCCTTTCCTCTTTTTTTTTTTTTTTTTTTTTCTATCAAGTTCATACCATGCTAATTCTAGGGGTGGTTTCATACTTTTGAACTGTATTGTGAAGAATGAAAAGACAAATAGAGAGAAAATTTACTTATCAGTAAACAGCTGAAAAGTAAGAAAAACCATCCTTTGGTGTTAAAAAATGTGTGTGTGGTCCATGGAGTTTGCTTGAAATGAAGTTTGGTGGACAGGAAGTTCCATGTTGTTGCTTTTACATCCAGAGCAAAAGAGAGGAAAGAGGTTTATTGCTCCAGCTTATAGTCTTGAAACAACACTACCTTGAGGGTATCTTGGTAAACAAATTGGGAGTAATCTCCACAACAGTAACAATTTTTTTTAATGCTTGAATCTTTTGCATGCTTTTAATATATCTATTTCCAATAATTTGCATACAACCCACTATCTGAGGATAGCAAAAATCATTTTCTCAAGAAAGATATAAGTAGAGAGTCAACAACACAGTATATCAAAGACACTAGAGATCTGATAAAAAATATTCACACAGAAAATAGCATTAAAATATAATTTTCAAAAATTTCTATTTAATCTTAGTTCTCTATTTTTTTTTTTCTTTTTGCTTCTTTCAGGAAATCCAGCCCCCACCAGTAGGAGCCACAGCTGGAGCCCATGTAGAGCCTACCACATCTCAACCGCCACTACCCCCACCACGACGAAAGCATAAAAAGGACGACCCGGCTCGTAAAAAGGCCACGCCGCCTGTGAAAGGGTCAGAGGCCGTTCGCAAGGAGGCCGCGGCACATGCGAATGCGGCTGTTGCATCCAAGCACAAGCAGCGTGAACAAGTGAAGCGAGCTAAGTCTGTGCCAGAGTCGGATAAAAAGGAGCAGATTCAACGTGTCGCGTCTCTGCCTGTGGATGAAGAGGAACAGCAGCCAATTCCTCCAGCCTCTGCTGTAGGACCTGGAAATGCAAAAGCAGAAGGTCCGCCTCTTCCTCCTCCTCAGCGGAAACAGCCAACGTCATCTAAAACCCCTGTACCATCTTCAAAGCGGGAGGAGCGGAAATCACGAAAAGAGGCGGAGGACAATGTTGACTCCAGCGTAGTTTTTCCTTGCCAGTCTTCAGCTGGGTCTTCAAGACTTAGAGGTAAGGCAACATCAGTATTTATAGATATTTGTTATTTATATATAAATTTGAATTTTAGTATCAGTTGGGATTTTCTTTCAGGTTGAATTTATATTATGATTTTTGTTTAGCTGGTGCATTGTCAATCATGAATTTTTTACTAAAATGTATTTCTTTCATATTAGTTGAAATTGCTTTTCCTCACATTTACTCAGACTGTCAGTCTATAGTTCAAATCAGAAACCAGAATTTAAAAAAAAAAACAAATTAGATTTAAGTTGGAATCTTTCATTTTCCATAAAGTTACTTATTTTTTGACCTGCGCTGATTGTGCAAATTGCAATGAAAAGCATCTGATAGTAGTCTGAAAGAAATACTATTCAGATATTTATAATGATTGATTTTAAATTGTCATTTTTCAGTGGGTTCTAGTTTTCTGTTTATCAAGTGTGTATTATGGATGTGTGTGGTGCAATGAATCAATGCTTGGAATAAGAAATCAGAGTGCTGAGTTCAAATTCTAGTTGGGTTTGTTACATTCACTTATGTGCAAATACCCTTGGGAAAGGTATGAATCTATCTCTTCTCCCCTCAGCTATGGGTTGAATAGCAGAGCAAACTAGGTCCCATAGCCTTGGATGGAAACCAGTCTACCACAGAAAGAAATAGTAACCTAGTGCTGGAAAATCTGCCTACTCAATCATGATCCCCCAAATATGTATGTTACTTAACAATTTGATTGAATTATCAAATGATAGGCTTACCATAAATTCCAAGCCTCAAACCAGAAGAGTTTTCTTCTTTTATGATAGGTTCAGTTTTTTGTATCATGAACTGTTTCCATCACCCAACACCCTGAAGTTTCAGGGCTGATACAAAAGAAATACCATCAAAAAAGAATATTAACAGTTTATATTACTGAGACACACTTCTCAAACCAAGATATATGGTAACTCTGTCATATGCTATATTTAAGTCGGGTAATCTTTTTTTCTTAATCAGTTTCACCTCGTGCAAGACAGTAAAGCCAATAAGACACAAGGGGTTACAGGGTGTGGAAGAATTAGGAGTAGAAACATTAATAATGAGCAAAAAGAGAAAAGAGTAATCAGGATAACAATAGATGATTGTTGCATTTAAATTTTTGCAGATTAATGTTGGCTAGAAAGTATGGAGGTGGAAGGGAAATCCATAAGTGAGAAGTGTGAGAAAAGAAACTGTTAGCATAGAATTTACAGCTACAACTAGACAGCTCAAATGTAAATTGATGAGATCTCAATGCCAGTCTAATACTGTGCATAAATTCAAAAAGTCCAGGTACGATAGCAGAGAGCTCAACTGAACAATTACCATTAAAGTATTTATAGAAAAGACACAGAGACAACCTTACATTGGTGAAAAAGTGACTGAAGCCAAGCTGCCAGATCAGGACTGATAATATTGCTGATTTTTCTTTGGATTTTATCAAGGAGGTCAAGGACGAATGGTAGACTTACAGATAGATATGATTGATTCTGGAGAGAAAAATTGTCTCGCACAACACAGTGAACCAACTTTCTTAGCAGCTGACATAGCAATAGATTCTGTAATTTATATAACTATAGCTTATTTTTTTCTTTCTAAATGCTGAATTAATGAAATAGGATAAAGAATTGAATTGAAGTACTGTATCAAAAGTTATTTTATTGCTTTAAATTAAAAGGAAAATTAAAAGAATTAATCGGGATCATTTTCTTAGGTTTTTAAAATATTTTTATGCTATTCTGATATTAGATTATTCCAATGAAGACTTAATTTAATTAGGTTATAACTGAACAATTAATAAAAAGAAACTACTTCAAGCAAAGCTTGAACTCTTACTCCTTTAAGTAGAATATAGTATGCAAGTGGCGTTTTAACCTCTTCTATGCTCAATAGAGCTGATTGGTAAACATGGGTCATCAATCCACTCTTCCCATTTTGTTTGACTAAACCTGCTGCTTCTAATTCTATTCATTGATTTAAAATGTATGGGAAGGAAAAAAAGTCAATAACAATTCACACACCTTTGTAAATCAATATGCCAAAGTCAGTTTTTGGCAACAATGGTATCCTGTTTTTCTCATACCAATCTCTGCTCAGTGATGACAGTGAGACAAACATTGATAAGTTAGGAGAAATGATGGATATGGTTAAGTTTAGCATTTCAAACGATTTTTGCATACCAAATGCATAAGCTTTTTGAACAAGCCTCATATTCTGAGTTCTCAGGAGGCAACACAGTGTTTGCTTTACACAAATAGCTTGTAATGGCGAGATTAGCTGTTTTCATACAGGAAATATTCAGCATTTTTTGACCAAACAGCAGTATTGTCGGCTGAAATTTATAAAATCTCTCTCTTAAAAGAATTAAAATAAAATGAAAGATTGAATGAAGCTATTCCCATCCTCTCTGAAAGAACATATATGGAGAATAAAATGAAGTCTTTCTTCTGTTAGCCTATTGGCCAAAAATGTCTTCCAATATTCCAAAATATTTAATTTTTGTTTTTATACTGACAGAAAAATAATTGAAATAAATTATGTTATTTCATTTCAGATGTTATTTTTCATTTTAATTCATTTTTACGGATTATTTACTTCACAAATCTACTTATTTTTATTTTACAAATTCTAATACTCATTGATTAATTATATTTTTAAGTTTTAATTGGAAAAAAATAGTTGAAAAGAAATATATTAGATTTCAAATATTATTTAATTTTATTTAGGCTGCATAAATTTTCCAATCCAAAAGAGGCCCAGAATATTAGGTTAGTTCTAAAATAAAGTGAAGAGGAAATGTTGGGGAGTAAATCAGTATTTGGTATGCAAAAATTGTTTGAAATACCAAACTTAACAAAACTCAATATGATAACTCTAAAGAGAATTCAATCTTTGATAGCATTTAAAAAATAATTTTTCAAAACAGTACTTTTTTATCATAATCTCAGTATAATGATGAATTTGATGTTTATCAAATTAGAAAATTTCTGCTTATACATATTTATGAGAAACTTACGATGATCTGTGGCCAAATGGTTAGAACATTAACATTCTAAAAAGGAGTCTCATAATAGTCAAGGTGACTTCATGATGAGGACAATTCCAACATATGGCACAGCTGGGAAGTACTTGAAAAGCCTTATGAGTAAAATTGGTATGACAAAACTATTTGGAAGCCATCAATGGTTGTGTTAGCATGAAATGACAAGTCATCATGAATGAGGGTTCAACTCTACCAACCTTGTTCAACTATTGATCACACCAGATTATGCACTCTTTCCCAGAAACAGTAACTAAGGTCAGCTCTGCAAAGTTGAAATATAAGCCAAAAGTTGGCTCTGTGGGTATTGAAGAAACACAAATGTGCTTGTGCAGGCACCTTCAGTAGGGATTAGCTAGCGACCCTAGCAGATGGTTGTACTCAGAAACGAGCAGCAGGGAAATATATATATATATATTAATCATTTCATTCCAAGCAAGGAAATAAAGCCACTAAGATGCAAGTTACTGAGTGTGAGAGAATATTCCTATGAACATGCCCAACAGTTTTTATGCTCATTTTTTTGTTACTGACGTAATAAAATATAAATTTTGAGTCATCTTTCAAATGAATTTGATAAAATGAGATTTTTTTTTTTTTTTTTTTGAGAGGGTGTTGAAAAATATCTCAGCCTGACCAACTTCCCACGAAGGATTTTGGAAGGGTAACTTCAGAAGCAATGTGATATAAGTAGAATACAGTGTAAGTTTTCATGGTCTTCAGTTATACATCTTTGATGATGGAGAACTTTTCTGCACTCACCTATTAGTTTAGTGTTTACCAAATCTATTGTCATCCAGTAATTTGGTGTTTATATATATATATATATATATATATATGACATCACACACCACCACAGTCACTGGGCCAGTTCATGGTTGATCCCTATGACCAGCCTTGGAGTTGGTCACCCAGCTCCTCAATCCCACCCTGCTCCATGTTGTGTTTGTTTTAGATCACAAAGCAGGTGAAGACTGAGTCGTATACCCAACATCACTGATCTGGGAGCATTGGCAAGATGACACCACAAGGAACAAAGTAAGAGACAGCTGCGTAAAACAACAACTTTATATCAAAGATTCATACAATGAACGTTCTACTCACTAAATTAACAACATGAAGATTTTCAGCACCTCTTAATAACCCATGACACTGTTCATCCATGCTCAGTAAACTGGTACAAGGCTGGAGTCTGATTTCTTCCATTCTGTGATTTCTTCAGGCCAGCCCTTCAGTTGTAGTCTGGAATAAGGCTGGATTCTAAGTTCTTTCTGCAGAAGTTGTGTGAGGTTTGGCCAAGCGGGTCTTAAACCAGACTGGCAATGCCCCTCTCTCACAAGCAGAAACCGAAACTGTCTGGTTCCTTCTTCTCTTAATACCCCAAACTATCTCATGCGTTGCTTGTCTGTATCTATGGACCTTCACGCAAACCCGTCATGGGGCACGAAGTGGTTGGGGGCTCCCAGGGAAATCCCAACATCTATGCAGAGCCTTTCATTGTCTGGTTTTTGGAAATTGATTACCTGACAAAATTTGGGGAGATCCCTCCCTCAAAAAGTGGTGGTGACAGAATATCAATCTGCCCAACTCCTTCCATCTTGTGTGGATGCTTCTCACCATCTCTGCCCAAAAGATGCAGGTGATTCCTCCACCTTCCTTGAAATTCTTCCGGTGACTCCACCTCTCAACAAGTGACACAAAGAGACAATTCCTTTGTTTTAATAAATTTTATTGTCTTAGCAGACAAACAAAAATGAAAAATATAACTACAATTACATTTCTGTTTCTTATTGGAAACATGTCAGTCTTAAAATCTAAGTCTTTATGAACTGATCGAATTTCGGCCAGAGTCCCATTTCTAGCCCTCGTGGGTACTTGAAGTCATTAAGATATATTCTATTCTTACATGCAGGGTTGAATGGACACTTAAGAAAATACCATCGCTTAAGATTAAGTTGGCTATAAACAAATGGTTTCTATGCTAGTCATCGTTGGCATCTCAACCCTTGGGGTGGGGAGAGAAAAGAAAACAAATATCCTTTTCTTTCATTTTCCTTGTTTTTCTATCAGTATAATTTCAGTCTACTGAAAAATAGTGTTTTTTGGGGGTTTTTTCCATTTTTTTTTTGAAAGCCTTTTTCCTAATTTACCAGCACCTTTTAATAGTGTCACACACACACACACACACACACACATATACATATATATATATATATATATATATATATATATATATATATACAGGGTGTACGAAAAGTACTTTTACAAACTTTGGGAGTGGGTTCCTCAAACCAAAACAAGGACAAAAGTCCACATAAACATATGTCTGCAAATCCTTCATTTTTGAGTTTAAAGTTTATGGTAGATGCTGTTAAATATTCTATCCAAGATACAATCCAAAAATATTTTTACAAACTTTGGCGGGTGGATTCCTGACACCAAAACAAGGTAAAATGTCCATATAAACATATGTCCAAAAGACTATTGTTGAACTTTGACACAGCAACAAATGTTCAAAATGTCCTTACCTTGCTTCTAAATACACATATACCTGTTGGATTAATGACTCGGGGAAACGGTTCAAGTACTCCAATACAGTGTCAGATGGTTATGCAGGGTCCTATGACACGTTGATGAAGTGTCTTTGCGTTATTAATGTCTGCTCCATAAACCAATCATTTTAGGTGGTCCCATAGATAAAAATCTGAAGAATTGATGTTGGGGAAATGTGTAGGCCATGGAACTGGTCCTCCCCTAAATATCCATCTTTCATAGTAGATGTCAGCCAGGGCATCACAATGTGACATCATGTATGAACCACATATGTTTTTGTATTAGCAGCAGTATACCAGCTAGCATATCTGGAATGTGTGTTCAAAATAAAATTCCTGTAGACAGCTCTTATAAAATATGCTGGGAAAACATATGGACCTACCAGACAGTCACCTACAATTCCAGCCTACATGTCAATTATAAACTGATGCTGGTGTCTTGCTTGTATTGTAATATTGAACCTGTACCCAAAATTTGTACAAGTTTTTTTGATACAACCTGATACCAACAAGATTGGTGGAAAGGTCTTATCATTTTACAGTTGAAATGGCTAGATGTAACCATAAGTTCTATTCTAACAGTTTCTTTTCTCACACTTCTTGCTTGTGGAATTCTCTTTGGGATTTTTGCTTTCCAGTCAAGTGTGATATTTGAAAATTTAAATGCAGTGTCAATCATTATCTTCTGTTTTCTTAATTCCTGTTCTATTATTCTTCTTACTCTTGAATTTGTTTCTTATATTCTTTCACACTCAGTAACCTCCTGCATTTTAGTGGCTTTATTGCCTAGCTTGAGGTAAAAATGATGAATAGCCAATCCAGTATAGAGATCAATAATAAACAGTTGTAAAAGCAATTATTTTAACAGAAGAGTCAATTGGCAAACATTTACTTGTATAATTTTTTTTCTCTGATCTTTATTTTCTGAGGTGGTGTTTTTTTTGTTTTTTTTAATTAGTTTCAGGAAATATCTAATTATATTTATTGATTATCAGTAAAAAATTTAAAACTCTGCATTGTTAAATTGTCTAAGATCAACTAAAATAATTTCTTATGTCCTTTCAACAATTTCTGAAAATATATTTTATTTCCTGATCAGTATAATAATGGCTCCTGTGGAATAGAAAGGCAATAGTATGTTGCTAGGACATTATCTGATCTCTGAATTTATGGAACTTGTGCTCTATTCAATTTCTTAGTTTTACTATTATTAGTTTGAATATTGTTTATTTTACTATATAAGTTGTTTTTTTAGTCTATAAATACTATACTTTTGCTGTAAAATTATCTTCCTTGCACTGGCAACACCCAGTGTCAGTGTATTTGTGAACTGTTCCAAGATATAGCACAGAAATTGAATTTGGTTGTCTTGGGTTCAGTTTCTACTTTATTCTTTTTTATTCCCTTTGTGATAATGTCCTTGGAAAAAAACAAATTCATCTTTCTCCAGCTATGGATTAAATAGTAGAGTACTGGGTTCTGTTAGCTTGAAGTGGCAACTAGACTGAGAAAGAAAATTATGAATTCAAAACCAGCCTGAGGATGACTAGGCTCTGTCTAATTGTCTTGCCCAAGATATACCACTGCTGCTATGCCAGCTGTACATGTGGTCTCTTTACAATTCTGATTGATTACAGGTTGCGTAGCATGATGGGCCATCTCTACTATCACAATAAACACTCATTTAGAGTGATTAATCAAACTTTAAAGAAAATTTTATAATAATCAAATTCATATTAATTATGTATAGGAAATCGATGATTTTTTGATTATTTTTTCTGTAAGTACTCTCATAGCTTTATAGAAAAGCATTAAATCAAATTTTGTATGCAGCTTAATACAAAATAAAGCATGAATTATAAAATGGTATAAATCAAATATCTTAAGAGTCAAAAATCAATGCGACAGCACTACAGATGAGTCGCTTAAATTACTAAACATTCAGTTGAAATTTCATGCAAATCACATTACATCCAGCAGCCAGGTCTCTGATTGGTAGATTGGAGGTTTTGAAGAACATGGAACCACCTTTTAATTGCTGTTGTTCCAAGGTCCACCCTGACCCGGTGTAGTAGCATCTATTAGAGTCCCAGATATAAGCAAATAGTGAACCCCAAAACTCTATGAAAGTATAACAATACATTTTTATAGCAAAAATACCATAAATACATTTTTATATAAAAAGAATTACCAACAATACCTTTTTCAAGTAGAATTACCAACAATACATTTTATAACAAAATGAACAGCAACACATTTACATTTTATCTGTAGTTGAAGCCATAAAATTATGTACAAAGTGTTTAGATTTGGGCATTAAATAACCCATAGATATTTATATGCTGTTAAGCACAATTAAACAACCAACATGAAAAAACTCTTTCATGACATTAATCAATATAATATCTTACAATTTCTTAAAGAAATCAAACTGTATTCTAAAATATAACTTCAAAAAAAACTACAACATAAAACACACATCACCACCTCTTGTAATTATGTGTGCACAAATATGTATATGCACAAAAGCTGAGTATCATCTACCATGTATTCAATTGTGAAAGCAGAATAACATCTATAATATTTTTATTACTTCAAAGCTCCCAGGAAAATTAAATTTTGACATTAAATGACCCATTAGAAGTTGATATGCCATTAAACATATCACTCAATCACATTAGATCAATGATTAATAAGATGAAAAGGCCTGCTTCATACAATCTCAATTAATTAAAGCAGAAAATACAATCCTTCTAAGTATTTACAAATAAATCTCATCCAGCACTTTACCAAACTGACATTTACATAAATAAGGTGGCACATATATATGAGGAATAGTATTTTTTTGTTTTGTTTCTCTCTATATAACAACAGAATCACCCAATAAGTAATATTTAGCAACCAGGTCTCACCATAACTAAATAATGAGAAAAGAAATATTGATGTTAACATGACGTATTCTTTGTCACCATCAGCAGATTGAAGAATGACAGGGGCAACTTGATATTGAAAATTGAAGAAAAGGAGATTCATAGTGATATATTATATCAATTATATATATATATATATAATCATGATCATCCACAGACTTTCACTGTATCCCAATTCATCAGTGTGGATAGACATGTGATTGCCTCAAGCTGGGATTGAAACCTGACTGATTTGGCATCAGTTGGAGATTTTGCCCCTGAGTTATCAGTGCCCAGTAGAGAGGCAAATTTTTACGTACCTATTCTTCGAATAAACATGCTGAGAGAGCTCAATTCATGGAAGAGGTTTGCAGTATTAGCCATTGTTTACAAATTCATGCTTTCTCTCCAGAGTGCTCAACCGAAATTAAATTTTCCGGGAGTATATATATATATATATATATATATATATATATATATTTCAAACATATATATATATATATATATATATATATATATATATTCGGCATCCACAGACAGACTATATATATATTTATATATTATCCACAGGCAGACAGACAGACATATATATATATATATATATATATATATATATATATATATATATATAAAAATTCCTCATCACTAGCAGTGTTTCATGCATGACACAATTTTCAGGTGCTGAGGATGGACTGACCATTACACAATGTTAATTATGATATATCTGGTTATCACAATGTTGGTGTAGTTATATTATGCTGGGTTTACAGTTTTTTTAATTTTAAAATTGAAATATCTGACAGTTAAAATAAGTGGGGTTTATATATGTAGGTAAAAGAAGAAAATTAAAAAAAATTATATTTTTGAGTTGTGAGATTCATTTTTTTTTTTTTTATTTTTTTTAATTAAAGGGAGGTTACTGTTTTTATTTAAAAAAACAAAAAACAAATTTTTATTCAAAATAAATATTAATTTATGTTAAAAATTAAAAAATTAATCTGGATCAAAGTATTTAAGCAGATATTTATTTTTATGCCTACATG